TCAAATTTGAATGAGAGTTTTGCAGGATATATTATTCTTGGCTGGCAATTTTTTTCTTTCAAGATTTTATATATGTCATCCCATTGCCTTCTCCTAAAGTCTTCTTAAATCAAAACAATAGTGTAGTGTAGCTAGTAAAAAATGTCTGCCTTGATCATTATGCTCTTTTAAGAACTATCTATATGGATCAAATTGTTCAAATGGGATTAGATGGGAAACTTAAGGGCAGTGACTTTATGTTAATGGGGGAGGAACAACTCAGAAAAGGAGGATGAGAATGATTGTACAAGAATGTAATCAATGTCACTGATTGTACATGTAGAAACTTTTGAATTGGTGTATGTTTTACTGTGTATATTCTCAACAGCAAAACAACAAAATAAATAAATAAAATTAAAACACAAAACAAAACATCTGTGTGAGACCGAAAGGTCAACAATTACTCTAAAGAAAAGATGTGAAGGTGAGGGAGCAAGGAAACTAGAGCCCTGGAAATGGAAACAGAACAACGAGAATGCAACTAAAGGGAATGTTGACTCGTGAAAAATGTAACTAATGTCACCGAACAATTTGTATAGAAATTGTCAAATGGGAACCTAATTTGCTGTGTAAATTCTCACCGAAAACACAATAAAATTTCAGGATTGTTCATTGCTAGTTTGTGGAAGTACAGTTGACTTTTATATTGATCTAGTGTTCTACAGCCTTGTTGAACTCGTTTAATAATTTTAATAGTTTTTTCTGAATCCTTTAGGATTTTGTATATATAAGAAGAAGCCATTTGTGAATAGAGTTAGTTTTACCTCTCCCTTCCCCATGTCAATGCCCTTTATTTCTTTTTCTTCCGTAATTTCCCTGGCTAGAGCCCGCATACAATGTTGAGTAAAAGTAGTGAGACCAGACATCCTTATCTTTTCCTGATCTTAGGGTGGAAAGCATTCAGTCTTTCACCATTAAGTATGATGTTAGCTGTGGGCTTTTCATAGATGTTCTGTATGAGATTGAGGAAGGTTCAGTGTTTTTAATCATAAAAGGAGTTTTGTTCAAATGATTTTTTTTTTGCTTATATTGAGATGATCATGTTTTGTTTTTTCTTTTATTCTGTGAATATGCTACGTTATATTGATTAATTTTTAGATATTAAACCAACCTTGCATTCCTGGGATAAATCTAATTTGATCATGGTGTATAATCCTTTTTATATGTTGCTGGGTTTGGTTTGCTAGTACTTTGTTAAGGATTTTGTGTCTGTATTAGTAAAGGATATTACTGTATCATTTTTTTTTCTTGTGATGTCCTTGTCTTGTTTTGGTATCAGAGTAATACTGGCCTCAACGATTTGAGAAGTCTTTCTTTCTCTTCTTTTTGAAGAGTTTATGAGGGTTTGGTATTGATTCTTCTTTAAACGTTTGGTAGAGTTCACTAGTGAAGGTATCAGGGCCTGGACTTTTTTTGGTGGGAAGCTTTATGATTACTAATTCATTACAGTAATTTTTTTGAGGATAATTATAAATAACATTCATCTTGCAAATAGCTGTTGATATTTAATTATTCAGCCAAACTTTCTTCTATATAATATCCAAATAGAAACAGATTTTGATATATTTCCTAATTTTCTTTTTTCTTCTGTTAAAGGTTTGTAATTACTCTGGAATCAGTAAGCCATGGCAACTAAGAAATTTGCTGTTAGAGTAAGTAATACTTAATAGCTTTCTTTAAAATGGTTCATCGTTTTCAAATATAACTGAGTTCTATGTTAATTAAAAAATGAAGCTCTGAATCTTTTCTATTCTTTAAATTTGGTATTCTGTTGAAAACTGTAAATGTGTCTTTTAAGAATGAAATGGAGGAGAAAATTAACGTTCATATGGTTATAAGAGTTCCTTGCTTAAAATCTTTTATAAGATACCTTTTGGTCATAACTTGGTCCTTAATGTTAAAAATTCTCATGCAGATTGCATGTCCATGAGATGACTTCTGATTATGGCAAAGCAGGTAAAAGGTCAAAGTAAAAAAGCAGCTAACAAATGCTGTACTTAGGTGGATGCCTGGAGAGAATTCTCTTGCCTGGCTGTCCTCTCTAGTTTTCCTCTTATAAGTGTCTCTTCTCTATCCCTTGTTGGTTGGGGTTGAGACCTTCCTAGGTGTAGAGGGATGGGAGGATTATATGTGAGGAGTGGTAGTACAGGAGACTAGAAGAATTAATCAATAGTAAGGATAAGGTCTTGGAGATGCTTTTATATATATTGGTTATTCTTTGGGACATTTTCTATATGTTAGTGTTATGTTAAGTACAAGTTCAGAATGCCAAAATGGATAAATTACAGTAGGTTTAACCAAGTCTGTAGTTATTTAGATTCACCAACGTAGTAAATTTATGTATGTGTGTGTGTATGTATTTCATTGCTTACAATTGTTTCTTGTATCCACATGTTCCTTAGAATTTCTTCTTGTACAGGTCTCAAAGTGGTAAACTTGCAGTAGTTGTCTAAAAATGTATTTTGGTCTTACTCTAGATGATTTTTAGTATTTCATAGGTTTTAGAATTCTAGGTATTTTTCTGTTGTTTTCTGGAATCTGTTACTGCTAATGAAAAACGTTTTAGTTGTCTATTACTGCTTAAAAACCACCTTCAAATTTAGTGGCTTAAAACACCAGCCATTTTCTTATCTCTCACTATTCTGTAGGTTGCCTAGGTTCAGTTAGGTGGTTCTTTCTCTGTTTGATTTTTTAAAAAATATTTTATTGTGTTTTTGGTGAGAAGTTTACGCAGCAAATTAGGTTTCCATTTAACAGTTTCTATACATTTTGTTCAGTGACATTGGTTACATTTTTCACAATGTGTCAACATTCTCATTATTTCTATTCTAGTTGTTCCAGTTCCATTAGTCTAGGTTCCCTGCCCCCTCTTACCTTCTCATCTTTGCTTTAGGGTAAATGTTTATTGTTTGGTTTAATATAGATTTTTTTAAAAGAGCACAGTACTCATGGATGATATTGTTTATTTTATGAGCCAATTTGTTATTTAACTGAAGGGTGACCTCTGGGAGTGGTTTCAGTTCCAAGTTTAAAGGGTATCTCAGGGTGACAGTCTCAGGGATTCTTCTAGTCTCTACCAGTCCAGTAAGTCTGTTTTTTTTTTAAGAATTTGAGTTTGATTCTACATTTTTCACCCATTCTATCCAGGAACATCTGTTGTGTCCCTAATCAGAACATTCGGTAATGGCAGCCAGGCACCATCTAGTTCTTCTGGTCTCAGGATAGATGAGCCCATGTTTCATGTGGGCTATTAGTCCTGGAGACTAGTTTCTTTGAGTCTTTGATTTCCTTCTTTCTCTTTTGCTGCAGACAAATAGAGATCAATAGGTGTATCTTAGATGGCATCTCGCAAGCTTTTTTTAAAATTTTATTTTTTTAAAATTTTTATTGTTGGGCTTTAAGTGAAAGTTTACAATTCAAGTTAGTCTCTCATACAAAAATTTATACATGCATTGTTTTGTGACCCTAGTTGCTGTCCGTGTACTGTGACAGCACACTCTTTCTCTTCACCTCAGATTTCCCATGTCCATTCAATGAGCTCCTGACCCTCTCTGCCTTCTCATCCCACCTCTGGATAGGAGCTGCCCATTTAGTCTCATGTATCTACTTGAGCTAAGAAGCACACTCTTCACTAGTATTATTTTATGTCCCATAGTCCAGTCTAATCTTTGTCTGAAGAGTTGGCCTCAGAAATAGTTTTAGCTTTGGGCTAACAGAGAGTCCAGGGGCCATGCCTTCTGGGGTCCCTCCAGTCTCAATCAAACCATTAAGCCTAGTCTTTTTACTAGATTTTGAGTTTTGCACCCCACTTTTCTCCTGCTCCGTCAGGGGCTCTCTGTTATGTTCCCTGTCAGAGGCGGTCATTGGTGGTAGCTGGGCATCATCTAGTTCTTCTGGTCTCAGGCTGATGAAGTCTCTGGTTTATGTGGCCCTTTCTGTCTCTTGGGCTAATACTTTCTTTGTGTCCATGGTGTTCTTCATTCTCCTTTGTTCCAGGTGGGTTGGAACGAATTGATGCCTCTTAGATGGCCGCTCTCTAGCTTTTAAGACCCCAGATGCCACTCACCAAGGTGGGATGCAGAACATTTTCTTAAAAAACTTTGTTATGCCAGTTGACCTAGATGTCTCCTGAGAGCATGGACCCCAGACCCCCACCCCTGCTACTCTGTCCCTCAAAGTGTTTGGTTGTATTCCGGAAACTTCTTAGCTTTGGTTTAGTCCAGTTGTGCTGACTTCCCCTGTAGCGTGTGCTGTCCTTCCCTTCACCTAAGATAATTCTTGTCTACTTTCTAGTTAGTAAATACCCCTCTCCCTTCCTCCCCACCCTCGTAACCATCAAAGAATGTTTTCTTCTGTGTTTAAACCTTTTCTTCACAAGCTTTTAAGACCCCAGAATGCTACTCACCAAACTAGGATGCAAAACATAAACTTTATGAACTATGTTATGCCAATTGACTGAGTTGTCCCACGAGACTGTGGTCCTAAACCTTCAAATCCAGAAAACCAATCCTGCAAGGTGTTTTGTTATGTTTAAGAAGTATCCGTAACTGTGCCCCCATGTGCTTTATTATATATATGATGTATGTGCAGCACACACAAACATGTATATATGTATGATTACAGTATATACATGCATATGCATATACTCCACGTATCCCTTCCTATACACATATACGTATACACATATATACCTATGTAATCACATACATATTTTTTGGTTGTTATTACTATTGTCGCAAAACTGTAAATGTTACAGCATTTACCAAAAATGTCCCTTATTGTTGCATACTTCCTAGTGTCATCATTTACCTTGGTTAAGCTGTGCCGACTTTACCTGCATTCAACATTGCCTTTCCCATCACCAAAAATAACAAGTGTCTAGTATCTAGAAAGTGATTCCCCCTTTGTCCCCCTCCCATCCCTGGTAACCACCAAAAAACAGTGCTTTCTGTATGTATACTTATTCTTGTCTTTTTATAAAAGTGAGGTCATATAATATTTGTCCTTTTGTGATTGACTTACTTCATTCAGCATAATCATTCCAGATTCATCCATGTTATGGTTCGAGAACTCATCATTTTTCTTTATAACTCCATAGTATTCCATTGTATGTATGTACCACAATTTGTTTATTCATTCGTCTGCTGATGAGCACTGAGGTTGTTTCTATTTTTTTGCTGTTGTGAATAATGCTGCAGTGAACATAGGTGTGCATATCTCTGTTTGTGTCACTGCTATTACATCTCTAGGGTATATACCTAGGAGTAGGATGGCGGAATCATAAGTATTTCTATTTCTAGCTTTTTGAGGAAGCACCATACCATTTGCTATAGTGGTTGTACCATTTTACAATCCCACCAGCAGTGGATCAGGATTCTAATCTCCCCACGACCTCGCCAGCATTTGTTCTTTTCTGCTTTTTTTGACTAGTGCCATGTTTGCAGGGGTGAGATGGTATCTTACAGTGGTTTTGGTTTGCATCTGTCTAAGTGGGGCAGTGGAGCCCTGGTGGCGCAGTAGTTGAGAGCTATGACGTGCTACAGCTGCTAACCAAAAAGGTCGGCAGTTCGAATCCACCATCCACTCCTTGGAAACCCTACAGGGCACTTTTACTCTGTCCTAGGGTCACCGTGAATCGGACTTGATGGGAGTGGGTTTGTTTTTTTTGTTTGTTTAAGTGGAGCAGTGGTTAAGAGCTCTGGTGCTAACCAAAAGGTTGGCAGTTTAAATCCACCAGCTTTCCTTGGAAACACTCTGGGGCAGTTCTACTCTGTCCTATAGGGTTGCTGAGTCAGAGTCAACTTCACGGCAACGGGTTTTGGTTTTTAATGGCTAATGATCACGAGCATCTTCATGTGTTTGTTGGCTGCTGGACTGTCCTCTTTGGTGAAGTGTCTATTCATGTCCTTTGTGCATATTTTAATTGGATTGTTTGTCTTTTTATTATTGAGTTGTTGATGTTTTCTATGTATTTTAGAGATTAGACCCTTATCACTTATGTCATTCCCAAAGATTTTTTCCCAGCCTGTAGGATCTCTTTTTACTCTTGGTAAAGTCTTTTGGTGAACATAAGTATTTAATTTTTAGGAGGTCCCGGTTATATAATTTGTGTTCTATTTTCGTGCCTTTATAGTTGTGTTTGATAATCTATTTCTAAAGAAGATTAGGCCCCATAGTTTTGCCTCTACATTATATTCAAGGAACTTTATAGTTTTAGCTTTAACATTTAGATCTTTGATCCATTTTCAGTTAGTTTTTGTGTATGGTGTGAATTATGGATCCTGTTTCATTTTTCTGCAAATAGATATCCAGTTTTGCCAGCACCATTTGTTAAAGAGACTATTTCTTCCCCCATTGAATGGACTTTGGCCCCTTGTCAAAAATCAGCTGCCCATAGATGGATAGATTTACTTCTGGATTCTCAATTCTATTCCATTGGTCTATGTGTCTGTCATTGAACCAGTACCAGGCTGTTTGATTACTGTGGCTGTATAGTATGTTTTGAGATTAGCAGTGTGAGGCCCCCTACTTTGTTCTTCAGTATTGCTCTGGCTATTCGAGGCTTCTTTCCTTTCCATATAAAGTTGGTGATTAGTTTTTCCATTTCAGAAAAGAATGATTTGGAATTTGTTTCAGGATTGCATTATATCTA